CCCAAGGCTCGCCTATCTCACCTATTCTCTTCATGCTCTACATCCAGCCACTCTTTACCTTGGGGGTTGGCTCTCTCTCAACGCTACAAACATTCGGATATGCTGACGACCTTGGGTTACTTGCTCGTGGACCTACGAAAGCAGAGAATATGAAGGCTCTTTCAAAACAAGTAGCTAGTGCATTAGAGTGGGGAACAGACGAGGGTATTACCTTTGATGCTGAAAAGTCTGAACTTATCCACTTTTCTCGTAAGAGAAAGCAAAGAGGTAGAGGCATCCGGCCTCCTCCATCTATTGTCATAGAGAACAGGACAATAGAACCGACACAAGAGCTTCGATGGCTCGGTATCTTCTTTGATCCCCGTCTTACCTTCTACAGCCATGTTAAAAGAATGACAAGTAAGACTACGTTAGTAGCGAACGCTTTAAAAGGGACAACAAACACAGCAAGAGGCTCTCCATCCCACTTGCTGAAGCAAGCTACCACTGCTTGTATTCTGTCAATCGCCTACTCTGGAAGCGAGACCTGGTTCCCTGGGCGGTCTAGGGTTAAAACAGGCCAAGTAGGAACTACAAACAACCGAATTGGCCGTCACTTGACTCTCTTAGACAGAGTAGTGGCTAAGTGTGCTAGGATTATTCTTCCGGTGTATAAGACTACTCCTACCTCGATACTGCTCATGGAATCTGGCCTTCTAGCCTCTGAAATTGCTCTTATAGTAAGAAGCGAAACACTAGACGCCCGAATCCGACGGCTAGATCCGGACCACCCACTCAAACGATGTGTAAATAACCCTAGCCCTAAAGCTAGGCTTATTTACCGTGCTCGGAGAATCCTTCCTCCCTCTGAAGAGATTGACCCTATACAAGACCCTCCATGGAGCAGGGGTTTTGACCGACAAGCCCGTCTTCTAGAGGTAGGGGGACCAGACCCTAGCGGAGACAAGAATTCCTTTAAAGCCAAATTCCTTGAATTTCTAGCTGATGTTCCACCTACGGATCTGGTAGTATTTACCGACGGCTCTCGCTTAGACGACAAAAGTACTGGAGGTGGCGTATGTCTCACAAGAGGGGGGGTTATTCTTAATACTAAGGCTTTCTCCTTCGGCAAGGCATTGGAGATATATGATGCAGAGGCTAGGGCTGCTCTCCATGGACTAGAACTAGCTTCAAACTCCCTGTACTGGCCTTCGGCTAGGAAGTGCTGGATTTGCCTCGACAACCTTGAGGCTGCGCTTCAACTAACATACCGGTCTTGTGGCACATCGCAAGGGATCTTTAATACAGTCCATGAGTTAGCGTCATCATACCCTGGGAAAATACAGACTAGGTGGTGCCCTAGTCACATAGGTATCCTAGGCAATGAAATCGCGGACAGAGCTGCTGGGAAAGCAGCGCGGATACCCCCTTCTAATTCCCTCTCTCCACTTTGTACTGCTACGCTCAAGAGGGGGGTTAAAGAAACAGGGATTGGACTTGCAAAGAAGCTCTGGAGCGCTACACTCCCGGCTGTCTATAAGGATCTGGGGCTTGAAAATTGGTCTTTGAAGCCACGGTCTCTTCAATTACCAAGAGAGGTTCTAGCTCGCTTAATAGCTGCTCGTTCTGGGCATGGAGACTTTGTCGCTTACCACCTTCGCTTCTTTCACTTCGACGCATTACTTACCTCAGGGGATTGTAAGTGTAAGAAGGCTAAGTCTCAATTCCACCTACTCTTTTGTAGGCTAGCAAACAACGTAGCCCCTAGGCTACTAGCAGAAGCTCAGAGGAACCCTCAGCTGCTCTTCGGCCCCGGCTGCGAGGAGCTATTTAATAAGGTCTACTTTAAGACTAGATTCTTCACTAAGATTTGTCTACCTAGATAGGCTGGCCTACTTTTCTTTCTTTCTTTGATTTATGTATTTCATTTATTGTACCCTGGTTCTCAAAACTAATTAAGGATAAGGGCTGTCCCGAAAGTGGGGCTTCTCTTTAAACTGTCTCTTGTAAATTAGCGTCTCTTCTTTTACACCCCCTGTAGCCTAGGGCACCCCCCTAGCGTCATTTGCCCATATTGGGACTCTTCTAGGACCTAGCCCACGCGAGCTAGACTCCGCTTGACGTTAAATAGCAATAAACAAATAAATAAATTTAACCTAAACATATATTTCCCAATTATCCCAGATTGCCAGGTCAAGGAAAGGACGCTATATTCATAACGTTACTACGAAGGTATGACTGCTAGAAATAACCTCGAGAGTCGCAGTTTCTATGTGATTTCGAGATATCGTTCAAGAAGATGGGGGGAAAGGTTTATGTGAAGAACCCTGAATTAATAATGGTGATGGTTACAACGATCTCGATGCCATGTTGTCACAACTGACATTTCGCCGAGAGCAATTTTCATCGGTTCAATGATGAAAACACCAAAAGTAATACGATACACTCATAGCATCGATGAAAAAGATATGTTCAGTAAAACATGATCGAGTGAGCTGGCGTGCAATGAGAACAGAGACAAGAGAGAAAATGATTTCTATTTCCATGTACTGGTATCACGATCATATGTACTTATAAGGATTCATTATACCATTCTGTATCCAAATCAGCAAGCAACTCATTAAATCAACACACCACCTCATTCCCAAAAAGATCATAAAAAAAGAAGATGGGAAAAGACATACCGGATCATACAGATTCTTAATCTGCTTCATCAACCCAATCATAGTTTGAGACCGACTATACCCAATATAATTCTTCTTCGCAAGTCCCAGCCCATGCTCCGCACTGATACTACCACTTCGTTTAGCAATCCACTCATAAACAAATGGCTCTAAAACCTTCTCGACACTTTTGTCATAACGTCGAGTGGCAATGTTGAGATGCAGGTTGGAATCTCCCATGTGCCCGTAGCCCACCACACCAACGACAGGATCATCTGGAGTGTCGCCGAGGAGACCGGCAGCGGTGATTTTATCACGAGTTTCGTTTACGAGATCGTAGAGTTCTGCGATGGGGATGGAGAGGTCGTATTTATATACTCCTCCCCAGTGTCCTAGACACTCTGGGATTCCTTCTCGCCAGCCCCAAAGGGACCTGACCTGTGTTGAGTCTTGGGCTACGACACCATCGGACACGATGTCGTTCTCCATGACATATTCTAGGAATTTCTCGAGTTTTTCATTGTCGTGTTCTGAGTTTGAGCCGCTGGTCTCAATTAGACAGTAGAATGGGTGTTCCCTTTCCAATGGACGCTTATTTTTGGTGACATTATGAACGAGATCTTGACTATGGCTGTCCATGAGTTCAAATGCGGAGAGAATCTCGGATAATTGACCTTTGGCTTCTTTGAATGCCAATTGGACCTTTTCGTAGGACTCAAGACCGAAGAATGCTACGTTAATTGCACTTGATCTCTGAGGGCAAAGAACTGAGATACCAGTTATGATACCAATTGTCCCTTCTGCCCCTATGAACAATTGCTTCAAATCATATCCTGTGTTATTCTTCCGTAATTTCGAAAGATCGTCCACAATCGTTCCATCCGGCAACACGGCTTCGATCCCAAGAACACTTCCGTGAAGACTGCCATATCGCAGTAGACGGAGTCCTCCAGCATTGGTAGCGACATTCCCTCCAATATGACAAGATCCCTTTGCGCCAAGATCTAATGGGAATATATGTCCTCTCTCTCCCAAGTACCCATCCGCAACCTCGAGAATAACACCAGCATCCACCACAAGCGTCCCAGAAATTTCGTCAAAAGAGCGAATTTGATTCATCCGACTCATGTTTATAACAATTTCATCGAACACTGGCACCGATCCACCGACCAACCCAGAGTTTCCTCCCTGGGGTACAACTGCCAGCATATTATCATTGCAGTACTTTAAAACTTTGCTGACTTCCTCCGTCGATCCAGGCTTCAACACAAGCTTCGTATGTCCCCGATATTTGCGCATCCAATCGCCATTGAAGGGTTCCAAATCGTCAGTTGCGTCCTTTGTAACTCCATCGATGACGGCGGATTCTGCACCGAGCAATTGCTTGAAATATTTGACATGTTCCTCTGTAATTTGCGGAAATTTCGAGTTGCGTTTGATACTGGGATATGTTTCGGAGGTGAACTTGATCGTTTTCGAAGTACCAGTTGTGCCTTTTGCGATTCCCTCGGTATCTTCTGTTGTAGCTGTGCTTTGGTACCGTGCTTGGATCAGAGGACGGCATAATTTGGATGTGGAAGCTGGAGAAATGCGAGTTTTGCGCAAAGCAAGAGAAACCCTCGATCGACTCGCCATTGTGCAAAGAATGAGAAAAAAAACCAAACCAAAACTTTGAAGGCAACGTTTCCAAAAATCGTGATGTATAAACCCAAGAAGGTGGGGACTTGATTGTGCAACGACAAGGTTGCGCTTCAGCCTCGCCTGCCTCATATCTCAGGTATGAGCAGGGATATGGTGAAGCTCGCGGGACTTCGTACGCAGATGCAGCCTGCCCTGCCTCTGGGAAACCACCTCAAGCTTCCCCAGACAGAACTCAGAGCTCCGAACCAAATCAATCACCCAGCCAAACTATCCATCTGTTCCTGAATTCCAGAACTCAAGTTAAACAGAAAATAATCATGGCTTCAGGATACGATAGAGCTCTTTCTGGTAAGCTAAGCTCCACATCCAATAGCTCCAACTACCCAAGCTAATACGTCGCAGTGTTCAGGTTTGTTATCATCAGCCAAACAGTTACCATGGCAAGCTAACAGATCGATAGTCCCGACGGACACGTTTTCCAGGTCGAATATGCCCTCGAAGCCGTCAAACGAGGTATGGTCAAATCATTGAGGTTTATGGAATACAAGCTAAGACAACACCAGGAACCTGCGCGGTCGGCGTCAAGGGAAAAGATATTGTAGTATTAGGATGTGAGAAGCGCTCGGCAATGAAACTACAAGATACCCGCATCACACCCTCGAAAATTGGATTGGTCGATATCCACGTCTGTTTAGCATTCGCCGGACTCAACGCAGATGCCCGAATCCTAGTCGACAAGGCCAGATTAGAAGCTCAATCCCACCGACTTACTGTAGAGGATCCCGTCACGATAGAGTACATTACAAAATACGTGGCTGGTGTGCAACAAAGATATACTCAGAGTGGTGGTGTCCGGCCGTTTGGTATCAGCACTTTGATTGTTGGTTTTGATCCGCTTGACAAGACTCCACGATTGTATCAGACTGAGCCATCTGGAATTTACTCTGCATGGTAAGCATAATTCAGAAGTTCGGAAGTTTATGTTGGGTAGCTATGTTGGGTAGCTAACAATCTTACAGGAAGGCAAATGCCATCGGACGATCAAGCAAGACAGTCCGAGAATTCCTGGAGCGAAACCACAAAGACGATATGGATCGCGAAACAACCCTTAAATTAACCATCAAGTCATTACTCGAAGTTGTACAAACCGGAGCAAAGAACATCGAAATCGCAATCATGGCACCGGGGAAGCCACTCGAGATGTTACCTGTAGAGGATATCGAGGCATATGTGAAGAGCATCGAGCAAGAAAAGGCTGAGGCAGCAAAGAAGAAGACTGGACGAACACCCGGTACCGGAAGCGCGGCAATCCTGTCAAGGGGTCCAGATGAGTAGATTTAGGAGTTCTTGGGCGCATGGTTAATTTGGGAAGTTGGGATGATCTCTTGAGTATCATCTTCCATAGAGAGTGTGTAAAATAGCAACGAGCAATGAAGTCTGACCGAAGTATATCAATTCCTCTTCATTATTTCATTCGTTTATTCCCGTTCCACCAAACAATCCTCGCCCCAGCGCCTGTAATAAAATCCCATTCGCATTCCCATGCCGCTAAAATCAAAATCCCCTATCCATTCCCTTCCAGTCTCCTCCCCTCCTCTCCGAATTCCTACCCCACCAACAAACACCATCGCCCATCCCCTCCCCTCGCACTCCCCCAACTCCAACTCCAACTTCCAACCCGTCCACCCCTAACCCAACTTATTAGGCGCCTCCTTAACATCAAAAATCGTCCTCAACTCCTCGCCCCTAATCCTCTCATCCTTCAGCATCCTACTATCCACCCTCGCATCCTCACCCTCAACCTTCAACATGGGCTTGGGCGTCACAGCCTCCAGCACAAAGTGATTATCGCAATGTGGACAGTACTCATCTGACTCCTCAAACTCCTGCGCGTCTTTTCGAAATACCTTGCGGCATTTCTTGCATGCGAAGGTCATTTCGGTTTGTTGTTTTAGGGCGTGCGTCTCGGTTTCCATGTGGCATTCTGCGCAGTCGAACCATTTCCTGCCTATGGGGGAGGGTGATTAGTGGGTTGTTGTGTATTGTGGTGGAGGAGGGGGGGGGAAGGAGCTTACAGCAGGGGGAGCGGATGGAGACTTGGGCGTTGAGGATGTGTTTGCTGGGTTTTGGTTAGAAATTTTCTTTTGGATTTGAATTTGAATTTGGTTTTGATTTAGGACTTACCACATCTTTGCCGTGCAAAAGGACTTTGCTGGATTTGAGGAGTTGAGGGATGTTGTGTTTTGGAGAGTGTATGGAAGGTGTATACGAGTAGGAGTAAATAAATTGCGTTCAACATTCAGGCGCAACACCAGGAGGTTTCCCCGCCTTGTTGGTGGCCAATTAAAAGAGACAGGGCTGAAGAACGGAGGTAAGTCGATTGTCAGCCTTGTCACAGTCGCTAGACTGTCATGCTTTTTTTCAGCTCTGCCAGGGTATTCACCAGATTTTCTTTCTTGAGACTTGGATTGACTTCTACTCTGTAGATTTCTATACAAAGGATGATTGCCTCTCCTTGAGAACACTAGTTACTATTCCTTAGAAATGTAGGTTCCAATTTAATCCAAGACTTACCTTTTGCCTTTAGTTAGTTTTATACTTTATATTACTTATATCCTAGTAGGAGCACGAGAGTCTATAATACTATGGACCCCTGGTCTATAGTGTTATAGACAACCGTACTTTTAGTAGGAATATTAAAATTTTGTAAATTTTTAAAACTCTTAAAAACTTACTAGGATATATATTATAATATAATCTAGATTTCCTAGATTATATATATCTTCTAAATCTACTTTACGTAATCTATTCGCCTCTACCTTCCGAGAATAATACTCTCTAAAATAAGCGAATCCCCCTAGGTAGACTTACTATAAAAGTCTATACTATTACTACTATAACTCTACTAAAGATCTTTTAAAGCTATAAGAAGAAAGAGTTTACTAATTATACTATTCCTTTATATAAAATAAAACAATAGATAGGTATTATAAGACTTATACTACTACCTTTAAAAATATATTTAAAGAAGTAGCTATTTCTTAGAGATAGCCTTAAGCTATTTTAGCTAGGTCCCTAGATAAGCTTTTCTTATATAAGATTTAAAAACTATAGCCTAAATTACTTAGATAAAATAATATTTTTACTAGAGTTTTTACAAATTAATATTATAAAATTAATAGTAAGAAAATAAATAATAGTAAATAGTAATAGTATTTATAGAATATAACTATAAATACTAAAACTCGTTCTTATTTAATATCTTAAAATATATAAACCTAAGTAAGTCTTTTACTTAAAAGTTAATAAACCTTAAAGCTCTACTAACTTCTTCTTATAAGGGTACTATTACTTAAAAGTAATTCTAGTATAACTATTAACCTTTAGTAAAGTTTAAGCCCTTACTAGATTAAACAAATAAGGTTTACTAATTAGATACTAGTAAATCTCGATTTATAGAATATTAAATTACTTTAACCTATATTACTAAAATTAGTATTAATTACTTTTAATAATATTAGAATTTCTAATTTATTATACTATTAACTTCCTCCCTAGGTATTCTAGGTTCTTTAATTATCTTTATATCTGTCTCTTATAGTATACCTATAGTTAAGGTCTATAAAAACCTTAATACTTTAGAATTAAGAAAAGCGACTACGACCTATAAAGATAAAGAGTGTTACGGAGTTGGAGGAACTGGGGGCGGATCACGTGTAGCATGGCCCGTGCGTGCTACTGGACTCCTGTATTTAGGCTCTCGTTCCTCTGGAACTCTCTTCTTCTCTCACTTAGTTGTTCGTTCAATATAGCAGTTTCCGGTTTGACTCAGTATTCATCTCAGCAAGCAGTGGTTCACTCCACACGGTCACAAAGAGTACTTATAAAGAAAGGTTAAGAAGAACTCTTTACTAGACTAAAAAGCTAAGTATAAAAGTCCGCTAGTAGTAAAGTATAGTATTGAGGGTAAATAATAAGAAGTTTAAATCTATATATATTATAATTTAATTCTAGTAATATTTAAATTATTAGAATTTAATACTATTCTTACTATAAATATCTATTTATTGGGTTGAAAGGGTATTGGGTACTGAAGGTCATGGAGAATTGATTGCATTGTAAAAGGTAGCTATCTAAGGTGTTTATATAAAGAGTGTAAGGCTTAGGCAGACATGAAGCATTTAGGCAGCAGAACTATAAGTGGATCAAATAAGGAAGTGGAGCAAAAGAGAAAGTAGACCCAGCACAACACTATTTATTATTAAAGGTTTACTGTTGGTACGACCTGGTGGTCGTGACGACGGCGAATACGGGATTCAGGTCACCTTCTCTTTGGAGGTAACTAAATCGGTGTATTCATTTGTTCGTGAAGAGTAAAGGTAGAGAGATGTGGTGCTCTACGAGCTTAAGTATGTGAGTGGCAAGCCACTCACATGACACCAAGCATGTAGAACCACCAAGCTCTCGTACGAGGTGCTAATCACCATAATTATATACCGACATTTACTAAGAGTAAATAATAAAAAGTTTAAACCTATATATATAATAGCTTAATTCTACTAGAAATCTAAACTATTAGAATTTATTACTATGATCACTAATTGTGACGACACGCACAGCTGATGGACCGCGCAAGAGTGCACGACTACGTCAGATATCACGAGTGGTGAGATTGACACTGTGGAACTGTCTATACGAAGATTCTAAGCTGAGGAGAGAAGAGAAGAATGGACAGAAGCTCAGGAGCTGGAGGCTCTTATATACAGGAGGTGTGCCAAGCGCACCTGCTTAGCCAAGTTCCAGCCAGGGACTGTGTCACGAATCACGTGTTCACGTGATAAGAGAAGACCAGGCGGCGTCCTGAAAGGTCAAGCACTATCAGTACTCTTATAGCAAATAGGGACGCTTGGGCTAGCTAAGCGATCCAGAGATTTCATTCAGTTAGTATCACGTGACAGGGTCACAGATCGTTGGAGCTTGCAGGAGCTTGCGTTGGAGCTTGAGGATCTTGGGCTCCCCGTAGGCTCCACGAGAACGAAGGTTCTATATAAGACTGGCACTTCTGCCTTTAGATAGGAGCTTCGTGCTCAACTTAGTTATCAATCTTATCATATTAGTTTGACATCTTTGATACAAGTAACGAGTTCACTTCCAAGTGAACAACCCGATAGTCTTCTTCTTATCATAGCATACCAACCAGCGAACACCCAGCCAAGTTTAGTTAGCCAGTTTGAGTATTCGTTACAGACTGGTCTGGAGCATGGTTGCCGCAGGGTTCCAGCCAGGGCCTGGTCTGTAGCGTAGTGGCGGTCAGAACCGTCACAAGAAATAATCTTCTAAGTTCTCTTTACCTAGCTAATTTCTCTAACTATTATTTAATATATTATATATCTAATACTTAGAGAACCCTCGCGACTTATCTAACTCTAGGTTTGTTTTTACTAACTATAGTATTATTATCTATAATATCTATTAGTTCTTCTCTATTCTTACTATACCCTTCTATATTACTCTCTACTTCTTCTTTACTCTAGTTAATATATTATATTTCTTATTAGCGCTTATAATATCTCTATATTCGAATTAGAAGTAAATAGCCTCTAGGAGGATATTTATAATACTAAAATAAATAAAACTTGTCTAGATTAACTAAAGTAACTGTAACGAATACTCAAACTGGCTAACTAAACTTGGCTGGGTGTTCGCTGGTTGGTATGCTATGATAAGAAGAAGACTATCGGGTTGTTCACTTGGAAGTGAACTCGTTACTTGTATCAAAGATGTCAAACAAATATGATAAGATTGATAACTAAGTTGATAACTAAGTTGAGCACGAAGCTCCTATCTAATGGCAGACGTGCCAGTCTTATATAGATCCTTTCATGTTCGTGGATCGTACTGGATCATGCAGATCTACGCTCCTGGATCGTGGATCATTACGATCCAAAAGATCCAGGTCACGTGACTTCTCCAATCAATGGAAATCCCTGGATCGCTTAGCTGGTCTAAGGATCCCTTTCTGCTATAAGAAACCTGGGTGTGCCTGCCGAGGGTTGCGCCTCTTATTATGACAATTATCACGTGAGCACGTGATTCGTGACATTTAGATAGCTAGAATTTTAGGTAGTCGGATATATTATACAGAGATTTAGTAGTTCTTTCTAGACTTTTCTAGGCTACATAGCTTATTAGTAGAATAGTAGCTAGTTAACATAATATTTTTAGAAAAACTTTTACTTTTTTATATAGTAGAGGATACTTTTTTTTTAGGTAGATTTTATTAATTAATATAGAGAAAACAGTAAGATTTAACCCCCGTTATAGACTATATAGTCATAGACTACCGTAGTCTATGCGGTATAGACCGCTCTCCTACTAGGTATACATTAGAAGCAAAAAACCAGAAAAGAAAAAGAAATCGGACTTTTTTTTTGAAAAATCACAATCGTTTCTTTCTTCTAGATTAACCTACCTATCTCTATCCCTCTCGCCCTACCTCTCAAAAAAACCTCTCTCTTTCTATTATCTATAAATTCCACAATTCCAAACAAATACTCTATCTACAAAAGCACAAACCATCAACCCAACCACAATCTGACAACCACCCAATCCCTCAGAAAACCCCATTGCCTAAACCAGCAAAAAGGAAAGCATACATGAACAGGGTGGGATTCGAACCCACGCGGTTGCCCACTGCGGATTAAACGTTCAAGTTCCATTTCTGGTTGCCTAAACACAGCGCCTTAACCACTCGGCCACCTGTCCTATCGTTTTTGCGATGAATTTCAAATCTCTAATTGTGGAGTTGTACCTGGGCCTTGATATGAGGGTGGGTGGCAAGGTTCTGGGGAGCTGAGGATGGGATGAAAGTGGGGTGAAAGGGCTGTTGCTTACCTGAGGTGGAGGCGCTTGGAATAGGCGATGGGGGAAAATCGGTTGCGGTCGGACCGGTGGGTCCCAATACACTGACGCCCCGGCGTCAGTTTAGAGCTGACTAAGCGCGGGTTTTCACGCCCCCCCACCATCCACGAACACTCTACTTATAAGTTACCTATAATTAATACATGCTTAACAAAATAACATATAATAAATCCTACAATATATATCGCTCCGAGTCTCGCGCATACTCCTCCTCAAGTCTAGCCCATATATCCCTACTCCTATTCTCAGTATTCCTATTCCTATTCCTAATAAACTCTGATTCAAGCATATTATACTCATCTTGCTCCTTCTTTTCCTCGTTATCTAGCCATGCTATAATCTCCTCATTTGTCCAGTCAGCTTTATTTGTAATAATAGTACCTGTAAGATCACGCCGC